GACACGGGCATGGAGCTTCAACAGCTGATGAATGCACAATTTCCCCATGAGTTAGTACTGAAAATAAGAATGAGGGCTTCTCCTGAACTCTGTTTCACACATTCACAGTGCCTCACGCTGCTGACAGTGTTTCTTTACAGGCAGTAACTAATGAAGCACCAGCCCAGATCTCTCCACTGTAACCACTGAGTCTTTCCCTCTGTATGTGTTTGGAGTGCTCCACCATGGAGGGCTGAGAGCAGAGCTGCAGAATTATTGAATTATGGTTCAGCACCAGGCTCTTTGACAGAGCTGTTCCAGGGGATGCTAGCAGCACTGTTCCTGTTGCCAGCAGAGACATGGAAACCATAACGAGCAAACTGCTGGCAATACCTCCTCCAAAGGCAGCAAAATGCCTCTAGGGAAAAAGGGTACCTGCTCTGGTGCCTGCCTTTTCATCACCAGAAATGAGGTTATGAACATACAAAACTTCCTGGGTTCATTTTTTTCTGCTAAGTTTCAATAATGAGGGCTACAGTTGTTTATTACTTCAAGCCCCTATCTTAGACAGAGCTTATGAAATTAAAGCCCTTGCTCCTCTTTCAGTTTTTGCACTGTTCAGCTTTGTGTATTTTTAATTTATGACCATGTCTTTTTTAGAGAAAACCAAAACCAAAAAGAACATACCAGGCTTGAACCATGCTAATCCTACAAAGGTGATGAATTACAATTACTTTATGAGATATCACTGGAGCAATTCTCCTGATATATTTAGCAGAAATATTCCTTGAGATTGGGTGTGTTAAGAGAGTATGAATTTTGTTCTGCTGTAGCTTTAGGGGTTATCTCTATTCTTTGTATCTTTATTCTCCATGTTAACAAAAATGAAGTTGGTTTCCAAGAGAGTTCAGCAACCAGAAGTCTGATCATTGGATACACAATCTGAGACATGCAGCTTTAGACAACCTAAACCATTTCAGTTTACACTTCTCCCACATTGCTTGTTATGCCTTTCTTTATTTAAAAAAACCCCAACATTTGACCCCAATGTACAAAGACCGTACAGGACCGCAGCTTCTGGGTGCTGCAGAAAATGTTACAAACTGTAATGGTTTGGTGCATGGGAGTGTGGGTTTCTTTGAGAACACCAAGGCCTTAAAGGGATGGGCTGGCTGCTGTTGCCATGGCTGTTTGCAGTGGCACTGGGCTGCTGTGAGCTCAGGCACAGGCTCTGGGGGCAGTGAGAGGGAAAACCTCTTGCCATTGGTGATGCTAGAGCATGAGGGAGATTGTACAGCCCAGGATTATGTACAACCAACAGGAATTCATTTAGTGACTTAGAAGGTGCTTTGATTTCTTCAGCAATCTTTTTGATATTTATGTTTTGTCATTTGGGTTTTTTTTTCTCTTATCTCCTCAGATTTACTCACTTGGTTTAGAACTACTTTAAGCAGTTGCCTAAAGGCAGAAAGCAATTCTTAAGGCAGAACCTGATAAAACCTGATACCCCCCCTGAGACTGGGGATATCCTAGTTTTGAGATACTTATTCTGGTCAGCATGTGTGAATTAAGGGAAGGGGAAGCCCCTTAGAGGAGACATACTCAGTTTTGTTTCCTCTCCCTCTCTCAGCACCCATATGTTTTTGCAAACATCCTTAATTTTGGTATTATAATTTCTATTCCAGGATACCAGGAACAGCTCCATCCCACCAGACCTTTACCTGCTGTCACCCCAGTAAAGTCTTTCCTGGTGCTGTTCTGTGGAGAGCTGTGTGTGCTGGCACCAAAACTTTGAGAAGAGGCAGTGTTGGGTCCCAGAGCACTAGGACCCCTACCAGGGAGGCAAGTAAAGCTGCCTCTGAGATTACAGCTGGGAAAAGGGACAGCTGAGACAATAATTATTTATTATTTATATTTTATCAAAGCTCCAAAGGCTTTGCCACAGTGAAGTAAGGGCTGCTACTGCTACTGGGCTACCCTCTGCCCATCCTTCACCTGGGGCTACTGATTTCCTGTGGCATTATTTCCAGTTTAGGGTCAGGCAGGGATGGCTCCTGCAATGGAGAGAGTGGATTTCAGTCACAGAAGGAGCCTTAGAACTCTCTGATCCTTTCTGAGCCTTACTTTGTTCCAGAATGGAGTAAGGATGGTGCTCAACAAGCTCAGCACCACCACATGCCAGAGAGAAAAATAAACTGCTCCCTCCCATTAGCCTCTGGTGAGGTAAAAAGCAGCCCCACCACCACTGCAAGGTATTACCTGTTGGAATGAAAAATAGCAACTGTTTATTTTAATTAGTATTAAAGATGTCACAAACCCTACATCTATTTCTAGATGTGTCAGCCAGTGCAGTAAATATTGATATTAATCTCAACTGTGCATTTTAAGGTTTACTTGCAAAGATAAAACACCTATGGAGGGGGTAGAAATGAAAGAGAAATGGGAGCTATTAATCACAAATAAGCACTTAGGCAGTTATATTAATTCAGAGAACATCTTCAATTTGCATTTGGAGGTTTTACAGCTTTTCCCAGCCTTAGATTAGTACTCCAAAAATTTAAGGGATCATTGATGTGATGTCATTTTAGACCTCTGTTGTCCCCTCTGGATTCCTGGTGCCTGGATTGTGGGTAGCTCTTCAGAGCTGCTTTCTTTGGATACACTTGTTTATTGTTAGTGTAAAAAAAGCCACCTCACCACAAGACAGCCCTGAGGGGCTGCAGTGAGTCCTTGGAAGAGATCAGAGCTGGGGAAGGGTTGGAGCACCAGGGGAGGGAGCTGGGGAGGCTCAGCCTGCAGAAAAGGAGGCTCAGGAGGGGCCTCTTCACTCTCTCCAGACCCCTGAGAGGAATCTGCAGCCAGCTGGGGTTGGTTTCTCCTCTCAAGTAACAAGTGACAGGACAAGGGCAAACAGCCTTGAAGTGTGCTGGGGAGGTTTAGATTGAATATTGGGGGAAATTTCCTCGTTGAAAGGATGGTCAGGTACTGGAAGAGGCTGGCCAGGGCAGTGCCCAGGCACCATCCCTGGGGGAATTCCAAGACATGGGAATGGTTGGACCTGGGGACGTGTTAGGAGTGGGCTTGGAAGTGCTCAGGGACCTTAGAGGTCTTTTCCAACCTGAATGGTTTTACAATTCTAAACACTTTTTACAGGGAGAAAAGGAGACAATTTTGGCTTTTGATTAAGGGCAAAAACACCCCACACAAACATGTGTGTCTTTATGTATATATATATATATGTGTGTATATGTTCTGGTTGGTTTTTAAGCAAGTAGGTTATATAAAAAATGATTTCTGGAGGGGAGGCAATATTGCTAGAATTGTTTTAGAAAAATTCATATTTCTGTGATTTTCTAGTAGTAGTTTTGCTCACTGCTTTCAGTGCTGTACAAATATTTTAGGGCCCATTTTGTGAAGAGGTACCTCATTCTCACTGCCATTCTGTGAAAAGGATGTTTCTATTTATTTGAATGAAAAATGCTGCATAATGCACTCCAACAAGTAATCTAAAATAAGTACAGTGATACATTTGAGTTTGCTGAGTATCTTGCTGCAAATCAAGTTTTAGTGATAACACACATGCCTGTATGACTTTGCTTAGGTTTAAAAATGTAGATTTATTTATAGTAGAGAAAATACTTTGTTTCCTTTTTGTGTCATGTACGAATACAACCTGAAAAGATCTGCTTCCAGTAGCAAAAAGATAAAAGTCTGTTAGATGGAGAAACACACTGATGAATTCACAAGCATATAAAAGAATTAAAGGCTGTCAATAAGGTTGTAAATTGCTGCTTTCAAGTTGCCCTAATGTTTGCTATGATAACAGCAACAACAACAGCAACAATGATAATAATAATCAGGACTAAAAGAAACTTTAAAATAATTTAAGTCCAGTTTTAAATCTGAAATTGACTTTTAAATATCTACATTTAATTTTGAATGTTTTTTTCTGAGCGTAAAGATTTGCTGATATGTGCTGATAACAAGCATCATGAAGAGCCTGCTTCATGTCACTGAAAAAATTAAAACTGGGAAATTATCTAGGATACTAGGATGGTAGGAACTGATCTAACATAACATTTTGTTCAAGATAATCAGAAATATTAATATTAATTTTGTATTAAACAGAAATTGTGGACATTTTTACAGTTGTTATTCCTGCAGATAAGATGTACTTATGTGGCCTTGATTCTGCAAATATTCTTCTAAGTTTAATATGTGTGAGAGAATAAAATGAAACAGGATTGATAATAAAAGAAAACTGCTGTATTGCCAGTCTTAACAACCATGTGACAACGTGATTGCTGGCACAACAAATAAAAGCATAAATATCTCCAATTTTAAAATTATTATAGATTTTTCTTTCATTTACTCTCTAGATATTCAACTAAAGGGCCCGGTTGCTGTCAGTATTTCCTTTCAGCTGCCAAATGCAGAAACTGGAATTACAAGAACCCCCAAGCACCCTTTGTATTCCCTATATCCCACGACATTCAGGAGCTGTGAATAATCCAGTATTGAGGGAGGTGGGTGCCCTCAAGATTGCTTCAAGTACCCTTTGCAACATCAGCCACCATTCAGGGTGTCAGGAAGGTCCTGTTGTGGCAAGACTCACTGGGAGAGTGAAGAAGAGGAAGCAGCTTATTTCAAACAGCAGATTAAAGAAGCAAAAGTCAAAGATGAAATTGCAAAGAAAACAAAGTACTCAGGAAAATAACCCAGACAAGCCACTAAGCAGCATTCACTTCCATGCCATTTTGTTTCTGTGCATTGGAGCAGCTACCCCAGCAAGTGCTGCAGCATTTGGTAAGCAGAGCAGCTGAAAGGTGCTTAAGGAAAAGAGGACCAAAAACACACCACACAGACTAATCAACACATTGGATATGTAGCTTATGTAGCTCTGCTTTTTCTTTTTTTTTTTTTTTCTTTTTAAATGGTGTTTAAGAAAAATATGCTGTGTTACCATAACAAACTAAAATACTCTCTCAGCCTCTTAAGATTTTAGTTTTTGTTTTCAACTATTTTGGTTCCAAGTAGGTTTTATTTTTCCTTGTCTCCTTTATAAAACCTTCTGTCAACATTAATGGCTTCAGGCAGAAGAAATAAGGGAGAATTATGAGCACAGAACAGGACTCACAGTGTTGTTCCTTTCTCTTGTGCACTACAGGCAGGCAGGGGTGCAGAAGAAATAGGGCATCATGTTTTTATAGAATATAGTCAGACAGGAATTCCAGCTGGCATTCACTAAGCAAAAGGGAACGTTTTCCTCATCTAAAATAATTGTTCAAATCCCAGCTATACATAGCTATGGAATAATGGGGTCACTTATTTTCCACTAGTTCAGTAAAATGATGCAGCAAGCTAATGGTTCCATGAGACAGACAGTTTAAAGCATCGATTTGCTGCAAATTGCTCAATCCATAACTAATGAGCAGCTCTACAGATTTTAAGTGAATCAATCCCATTAGAATTTACAGTTTGCATAAGACCATATTACTCAATCAATGGACACATACTGGGGTTTTTTTTTTTTTGATAACCATCAGCAGCCCTTTCTTGTTGCTGTTTTTCTTAAACTCGTTTTTAATTTCTCTTGGTAGATTGGATAAAAATCCCTCTCTTGAGGGTCTGACAGCATGCCTGAAAAAATACACCATCCACATCTAAATAAGCACACATGCATCCCCTGTCAAGTCCCAGATATTCCCTTGCAGAAGACAGTTAACATCCAAAAGGCAGGACGAGATGATAGATGGAATTTAGCCCCTGTAGCACTAAAGCCCTGCCCCAATTTGAAGGTGGATTATGTTTTTTTTACACCTGTAAAAATGTGAAGTTATATGGCAACTGGTATTTGGACCCACAGAAGTTATTCTACATAACAAGCTGAAATCTCTCCTGTGTGAAAAAAGTAGCAAAGGCAAAAACTTGTATGGATTGAGTGACAGGACTTTTGTCCCACATCTGCAGGGCAGAAACAGGAAATTGAGAACTATGCTTGCTAACAGATCAAGTTCTGGATTACTTTATTACTGTGTGTGCCAGGAGGTTTGGACCACCTTTTCTCCAGGCTTTGTAAGAAAAGGGCCAGTTCTATCGTTATCAATTACTACAACAAGATCATTTTAGGCAAAACAGTTACAGGCAAGCAGAAGTTCAAATCCTGTCAATGAATTCATAGACTCTGAAAAAACATTGTATTGGTTGTTACAAAAGAGCTGTGGCTGGCGGGCTGTTTGTTAGTAGGGGAGTGTTGAATCATCCCACTCCAACTGCTCTTGCCTGGTGGCATTCTGTTTGTGTCCCTTTTGGACAATCACTTCCTCCTCCTCTTCCTCCTCCTCCTCCTCTTCACTGTCATCTGATTCAGCACTGGTTGTGTCTTCCTCTTCATCATCTATATCTTCTTCCTCACTCTCCTCTTCTGTCTGGTGTGGCTTTTCATATTTCTACAATAAATTTAAAGAAATGAGACACTAGCAGAAAGGTGCCTTCTTGACAGCCAGAGCTGTGTCAAATGAGCATTTAGAAATGCTAACATGCTGGGCAAATCTGGTTTTGATCATTATGTGATTATTAAGCATTAAATTCATACAAGTTGGTAGCAAACATTCAAAAACTACTCCAAGAAGAATGAAATGTAAATAGGCAATCTCTTTGTTAGCCACACTACCAAAATTTAAACCTTCAACATCATTTTCTTTAAACTGCTGATGATTTCCCCTCCTTTTAGTGTATAAATGCTTACATGAAAAAGTTAAAACCAAAGCCAACTATATCATCTTGGGTACCTGTCAGAACCCAGAGCATCACTCTGGGTGTCCAGAGTTGCCAGGACCCCTGCCAGGGGCTCAGAGACCCTGGCACACAGCCCAGAACACCTGGGGGTTTGATTATGAGCTGTGGAGCAAATTACCAGCTTTGTATGAAGACCTGAAAGCCACAGAAGTTTAAGTAGTGTAATAATAAAATTATCAATGGGTGAAGGGGTAGATTTTGGGGACAAGATGGAGGGACTTGGGCATGTCCAGCCTTTCTTCTTCTTCTTCTCTCCCTCCATCTTCTGCTGTGATGGTGGCACTTTTGGATTGGTCTAGAGTAGAAGCTCACTGTCTAACACAGGTGATAGGTATAGGAAAGTAATTGTAAACATGTTATCTGTAGTTTGTAGTATAAAGAGATAACACCGCCCCGGGGGCGGGCAGAGCGCCGCTGTCTGTCCTGCTGAGTGCACCTCGGCTGGACAGGAGAAAAATTGTCATAGATAAGATACAATAAACAACTCTGAGACTGAGAACTGAAGAACTCTGGCTCATTCTTTGAATGTGCAGGCTGAAACAGAGACTTTTCCTGTGTCTCGGGGCTGCAATAAACTGCAGAACTCCCGAGAGGTACCTACAAACAGACATGGATGGAGTGGAAGTGATGCTGTACCTGAGAGTTCTTCACCATCTTCTTTCGTAATTATACACGACAACAAATCTAAGTTCTCAATTATATCTGATCAAGGTGTGCAGAGCTGAGAACTGGGCTGGGGTCTTGAGTGTACACACACACAGCTGAACAAGTGCACCCTGAAAGATGCTCAAACCCACTGCCAGCCCAGCCATGGCTCCTGGCAGTGCCAGGGTCACGTACCTCCATGGGGTTGACGGTGATGGTGAGAGCAGAGTCGTCCCAGTCCATCTCGTTGTCCTTGGCTCCCTCGTGCCCCAGGGAGCCGTGCTGGCGGGCGGAGCGCAGCCGGAGCACACCCAGCGTCACCACCAGCACCAGGATGCTCACACAGATGATGATAACCATCGTGGCCACGCTGGGAACCACTGGGACAAAGGGTGGCAAAGGGAATGCAGTTACACTTGGGGAACAAGTCATCTACACCTCACTAACCTCGTTCATTGTCAACCACCCATAGCACCCCCTCCTCTGGACTGAGAATCAGGACAGACACCTTCCATGTGCCACATGCCTGGGATGATGGAAAGTGTTGACCAGTGCCCATCCACTAAGGTGGAGCACACACAAATGGTGTTCACAGGTATCTTATGACGAGTATGATAAATCCTAACTGAAAAGTGAGCATGCTCACCTTTGCTTTTTGAGCCACTTAACTACAGATGACAGGTGGTTAATAAGTGCAGAATCAAATAGTTTTTGCAGTAAAATTCTGTTATCTCACTTGCGTGTTGACCCTTCTCAAGGCTTCAAGCTTGAGACAAAATGTACATCTCAAAGCTTGTATTTCAAAGGTTTCAAATGCTTGTGATTTCAACCTCAAGCTCCCAGAAATAAATGCATTGCCACCCTATTTATCTGTGTTACAATCTTCCTGGGAGTTTCTTGAGGACTCAAGACATTTTCCCCCACTGGTTGTCTGAGAGGCCCCTGTCTCCACCTAGTCACAGGAAGAAGTCTCTCTGAACTACCACATGTAATCAGCTCCATAATTAGGTTAGTGGAGAAATGCTGCCACTCTCTATGTACTGTGAGGTACTGCAGTTCCAGGAGCATGGGATAACCCAGTCCATAACCCATTTTGTTGCCTTGCCCTGCCTATAAGAATGTAAGTCTGAAATTGAAACAGTATTTAGGAACAAAAAAACCTAGTTTGCATTCGTTTATCCATTAAACATTCAGTTTCATTTTAGTGAAGTGTCTCTACAAGGTAAAGAAAAATACAGCAATTTTCTAAGCATCTCTGTATATGGCTACTTACAACTGCCTACACTTTACATCAGCTTTACTTCTTTACATATGTATCATTCAGCTAAAAGGATTTCAGAATCCAACTTTCAAACAAGTATCTTTGCCCTATATTTAACTTCACTGAAAAGGTTTCAGATTTGGGTCTATATTTTAACTCATATAGCCTAAAAATTAAATAAAAATATATCCTATATATTTTTCAACTGTGGGGGTCAGAGCACAAAACCATTAATGAAGACTTTAAAAAAGGATACCAGGTTTTAATTTAAAAGTACATTCTTGGACAGAATAGAATTCAGAGTTACCTTCTTTCACACCTGTGATCTCTGAGAGGTCTTAGAAGCTGAAACAATGGCCCTCAGGGCTTTAGTCTGTGGAGCAGGCTGACCCACAAGGGAAACACTGACACATCGGAATCATTGTGAGCAGTCTCTGGGAAGGTGTCACATACCTGAGCTGTGGACTGCACTTACACTCCCCTCAGGGTGCTGAACAGATTGGAGAAATTTGGGCTGGAATATCATGTGATTTACATGGTCCATGAAGTTTGAGTTGGAACTGTGTAGAATATTAACCTGGGAGAAGAGAAAAATAAGAGACCAGATACTCAAAAGTGTTTTATACTCCAAGACTGCTGGTTCCATATATTACATTGGACTATGAAGTTCATCAGCAGATAGGAATACTACTTCACAGATCCTAAAGGACAAATTAACTTTTTTTTAATGCCAGTGGAAAATACACAGCTTAATATATTTCTAATTTGTAGCATGAAAAATGCAGTCTAACCTTTCTGGCTGTTGACTCTGAAGTGACACAGAACAGGACTCTTTTGATTTACCTGTTTGGATAAGTAGTGACTTTTTCTTCTCTCTATATTAACCAGCTTTTAGGTGTTACCTAAACATTATGAAATAACTGTTAATTTTATTAACAATTATCAAGCTGTTAATTGTCTTTGTAAACACTTATTAATTTTGACCATATTGCTAAGTAGGTCCTGCAGTTTCCTGGAGTTGTTACCTGGGCTCTAGGCCTCGGTGCTAGGTTGGAAAACATGACTGAGTCATTGCTCACCTCCAAGCTGAACTCACTGCTCACCTGCAGGCTGAACTCATTGCTCACCTCCAGGCTGAACCCATTGCTCACCTCCAGGCTGAACTCCTTGCTCACCTCCAGGTTGAATTCATTGCTGGTGTAGCGCCCATTGAGCTCGGAGCACTTGACCCTGAACTTCCTGTCCGAGGTGGCCGAGGTGCCCCAGTTGCGGTAGCGGAGCTGCCGCAGCACCTGCTCGTAGCTGAACATGCTGTCCACACCTGTGGGGTGGGAGGGCAGGGACAGCTCTGGGACAGGCAAGGGAACACTGCTCTGGCAGTGCACAACAAATCAACCGCTCACAGAACACACGGAACTCGGCAGAAAGGTCTGGAAATGACAGGGCATCAAACGTTCCCTGACACTCGATTATGTGAGGATAAGTTTTTGGAACTGAATGTAGGTCCCTAATGGAGAGGGAAAAATACAACAATGGTACAGAATAAATTACTTAGTGATGAGAAAAAGATGGCCAATGTCCCAGCATTGTACAGGAACCCCCTCACTCCCATATTCCACTGTGATGGTCCACAAGAACCCCACATTTAAAGAAAGCAGGGATGTCGTTTTCCTTACTTGGGGAGTAGCAGGAGGGATGCTGAGAATCCAAAGGGCAAACACAGCACATCCAGAGATCAAGAAGCAGCTGTGTTTTTTAAGATACAGTCACCCTTGGGATATTTTCATGGCTAGAAAATCACAGATTTCTGTCCAATTTCTTATATATTTGAGCATTCATTCCAATATATAATTGATATGACAAAATAAGGGAAAACAAATTTCCTGAACTTACCATAGATTGAATATCCTGCAGTGGAATTTGTGGCATCTAGATGTTTTCCTTGAAGCTCCCCATGATCTAGTTCTAAACACTCTTGTTCAGGGTCTAGTTCTGCACCAATGACCAAAACATCACAGAAATCCAAGTTGTGGAGCATTTCCTCTACTACCACTTGTTTATTGACTGTGAACCCATGGCATGGGGAATGAAAAAAAAGATGGAAATGAAGATAAATTATCACAGAACAGCTCAGTCATTTTATGTGCTTTACATCAGGACTTTCAATTTTTGCCAAGATGGCTGAACTGTTTTTACTGATATTAAATCCAGCACACTTAAAGCAAATCAAGAGAAGTGTCCAGTCTGCACAGGTGCTGTGATGATGAAGGCCTTACAAACACCCAGTGAGATAAATAGAAAATATATTGCTCTGTAGTATAAGGCACCCAAGAACATTACTGGAAGTAGAAAACTGAAATTTGATCTTGGAAATAAATTCATGTAAAAAATTCTACGTTTCAATGCTGAATTGATACCAGCTTTCTTAAGGAAAACCAAACTGGAAAAATACAAATCCAACATATCTATGCTTGGATGATTCTCTCAGTTACTCCATATCCCATAAACAATTTACATTACAAAGACCTGGCCATCTATCCAAGAGCAAGGCATGATTATAAATAGCAAGATCCTGTGCTGTGTGACTTAAAGAAATTAAGTTATAAACTGACTGTCCTTCAACATGTACCAGTAAAAAAATAATTCTGTTACTGGAAGAAGGGTAGCATATCAAATTAATATTTAAATTCTCTGATCAACTTAGCACAGAGTGTGTGGCAAAACTCCTTAAGCAGCTCCCTGAGGGCACAGACACTGCAAGCCTGGAACTTCCTGCCCATTTTGCAAACTTGATGTTAGAGGGCAGGAATTTGGGAAGGAAGGCATTGGGAAGGAGGGCACAGCCAGGAAAGCCTCACGCCCCACATTGCCAACTCCTGGTGCAGTGAATCTGGGTACCTTAGCTCTAAGTTACAGCTGTAACATATCCAAAAATGCAGCCCAAGTCAAATTTGTAGGCTTCAGGTAATCCGTGCCTGTAAACTTGCATACCATTACCCATTTTCTCTTCTTCAGAGACATACATCTAGTTGCTGCTTATTCTAGTCCAACAAACTGTGTTTAGAATGATTCCTCAAATTACTAGACATTTCATCTGCCTTGCACACACAAACATTCAAAAGATTCCTTTATAGACAATGATTTTAAACTTGATTTATACTTTTGAACATTCCCACAGTGTTGAATAATAATACACACATTGCTTAGCATTAGAATAAACAGTCATCATTGAAAAGAAATATTTTTAAAGGATTATGTATACATTTTATAGGTGAGAAACTGAGGCATGAGATTACTTTCTTGGGTATCACTCACAAGCTGCTATCAGAGCTGGAAACATAAGAGCAGACTAAAACTTCAACTGTTGTTCAATTACTGCTTTTCACCTTATCAGCACAATTAACAAAATTCTGTTACAAGTAGAGGCATTCTAATGAAAATACCCTACATAACAGAATATGAAAGGAGGAGTAGAAAGGAATTATTCCAAAGTATACTAAATGAATACTACATGGAAAATCTGCTTTTTTTGAAACATCTTCTGATCTGCCACCATTTAACACATTTTTCAATGTGTTGAATTGAATTTCTTCAGTACAGCATTACTGTGACCTAATTAATCTGGGTGAAGCGACTTCCTTTGCATTACTTGTTTGCACCAGCCTTTAAAAATTTGAGGAGACGTTACAAAATGAGTAATACTATTTAAAAGAAAGACACAAACCTCTGTCATGTTCTCTTAAGTCCACTGAATGCTCCATTTTAGTGACTGTGCTGACAATCCTGATGTCAGGGAACAAAATAACACCTCTCTCACTTTCAAACTGTGCAGCTGGTCTAGCAAAGTGGTCCATCCCAGTTATGGTAATCTTGGGCTCATTGGCCTGAAATACCATTACATAGGCATCTATATCTGGGATACTAATGCAGACATCTTCACCAAAACATCTGAAAAGACACATCAGTCATTAACTGCTTGTAACACATTGCACATCAGAGGAGTGTGGCACTGGCAGTGCCCCAAGCCCAGCTCATGGCTCTCAGGTCAGTCCAATCCATCCTCAGGCACTGCCACACATGAGGCCATGCTCCTGTACCACTGTGCAAACAGGCCAGCTCTGCCCTCCCCTCCCTTCCCACCTTCACAGATACTCATCCTGACAGACAAACTTAGTCTTTCCTAAGGTGACTAGCAGAATAATATTTTAATGTTTAACTGACATTTAACAGAGCAGTAAAGGGTTAAAAAAGTTAACTAGATAACAACTAACTTTAGCAAACCAAACATTAAATTCAGAAAGTGGTAGCTAATGAATACAACACGGTTATCCTGTCATGTGTGATTAAAAGGGCCTAATTTTCCATTTAAATTGGTCCCATTATGAACTCTTTTTGGGACCCTCCAATATTTGCAGTGAAAAAAAGGCTCCTGTACTTCCATTTTCACCTGAATCAGCAGTGTGCAGGCAGTGAATCTCCTGACAAGCTCTGCCTCATTTCATGCTGGCCCAGGAGCTGGGCCAGCCCTGGGTGTGCAGGCTGGGCTGGCTCCAGTGGGGCAGCCTGAGAGCTCTTAGAACTCTGCTTGTTTTCCCTCCAGGCCCTGCTCTCCCTGCTCTGGACAGAGCAGAGGCCAGGGGAGGCCAGGAGAGGCTGTGGCCAGCTCTGTGCAGCTGCTGTCACTGTGCTGCATGGAGAAGGATGGACACAGAGCCAGTCCAGCCTCCACCAGTGCTCCAGGGACAGCACAGACAGCAGGGGACAGACACACACTGCTTCAAGCACACCTACAGACACTGCTCTTGCAGATATGTCCTCTGTTTGATGGAACAGGCCTGCAGTAAAAAGTCATGGCTCTGGCCATCTCAGAAGGAACCATAAATGTTTAAAATTAAAAGTAAATAAGATTGCAGTAAATGCACTTTTCAGTCCAGACTGTATGCCCCCAAAACGATAAAGAGAATGCAAGTACATTATACTAACAAGAAAAGCTTCTTAAGAAGGTAATGTCAAGAGTAATCTACCATGTAAATGGTGGTTTTGGCATAAAAATAAATTAAATTAATCCTTTAAAGTTCAATAACAAAGTAGTATGATTTATCAATTTAATTTAGCCAAAATTATTCTTTTCACATGGCCAAAGAGAAAAGTAATTCATTAAAAATGTTCCTAATCTGTTCAATTCAGCTGAAGTGTAACTTACTGGACTTTAGATGAGACTTTGAGACGTCGTACGCCTGCAGTAGGAAACTGTCTGGAGTTGATGTATGAGACCTTTTGGAGAGCTTGATTTATATTCTCAATGTCATCTCCTTCCATGACAAGGGCTGACTGGGAAGGGTTGAAGTGATACTAGGAGAAATACAAATAATTAGTATTTAAGGGACCAGGTACAGAGTACAAAATAATATATATTTTTAAGGAATGTTGCACAGATGTAAGTAAAAATTTTAATGATTTAAGAAAAAAAAAATCTCCATAGCTATCATTGGCTGAATCCACATGTTGTTCTCTATAACATGTACTTGTATCAGTCACCTAAAAATTAATCCAGATTTGCTGTTCTTTTCCCAGCCTTATCAACCTCGCTGATACAATTTCTGCAGCAATTTCCAATGCTATTTATTTTTGAACTCTGGAGAGGTTCAAAACCTTAACTGACCACCATGATTCTTATTTCTATGTAATCTTTTTAGGTTCAACACATTCCCCATATAAAAGCATTGCCTTTTGAGCCAGCCTAGCATGCAGAAGCCTATTTTGGCTGCTTTCTGTTGTGGTTTTATCCTGGGCTACCTTTCTGAGATATATTTCAACACGAATGAACAAAACAGTTACAACATTTGCCTCCTACATCTTCATTAGTGTCAGACACACTAAAGGGGACTCTCCATCCTGTCTGATGATCAATAAGGGTGTCTTGATTTAAGATGGAGCTGCTCACTTGGGCCAGCAAACCCTGCAAAATCACTGCCTGCTCATGTAGCCCCAGGCCTTCTCTACTGCATTGCACCGAACACAGATCAGTCTTGATGACCAAAAAACTTTGTCACTGTTGTGACACAACCAATGACTGATTTTTACCTTCATCATAATTAATCCTAATTACATGTTTTATCTGTTAATTGGTTTACTGAACCATCTGCATTGCCGAGGAAACCAGGGTCACCCACTTGACATCGTGCCCTACTGTTGCCAGCACTTTTCTCTCCTGGAAAGGCTTTCTTTCCCCAAAGCCTTCACATTGATTATGTGAAGATTCTGTTAAAATACAGACAGAGGCTGCCTACACTTCCTTACAGCCAGAAAGGTTAAAAATCAAACCACATCAAACAGTCTGTGAAGAACAGGAGGAAGAGCAGGGTCCTTTGTCAAACAGAACATGGAGGACTGGGTTTAAAGCTTGTGCAGGAAGGTCACAACACACTGAAGGGTATTTTTCAACAAAGAGGAGGACTAACATGAATCCCAGCCTGCATATACTTCTTTTTCCTCTCTTTAAGCTAGCAACAGTAGGGAATGAATTAGCAAAAAGGAGACTCTAGCTAGCCAGTTAATAGCTCAGCTGCAAAACAGCTGGAATGCTGCCAAAGGGACCAGAGAAAGGCCCAGTCTGAGCCATTTTTGTCTTTCTCATTAAAAAAGCTAAAAATAGCAACAGTTTAGACAGTGTCTCAGAGAGCTGTTACAGATATTGAAAATTAGGCTGCAGCCCAAAAACAGTCTGACACTATTGTCTCAGAAACTGCTGCTACACTGCTCTTTCTTAGGTGGTTAAAGCGTGAATCTCCGTGGTGCAAAGTGCCCAAAGCACCTCCCAGTATCAGTCTGCCAACACTGAATCTGCAGAGCACCACATAAACAGCCCCACAGAACCCACTGTCTGTGCAGCTGCACACCTGCCTGTCTGGGGTCAGGTGTGTTTGTTTTGGACACCACAACACCTTTCCCTCTCATTTTCTCTTCAAGGTCAGGCAACTGTTCTGCTTTCACCTGAGCTTCCTTCTGTCAGCCCCCCAAAGAAACCCTTCCACAATCTCTCTCTCTTTGCTCCTTTCATTTTTGCCTCCTTCTGTTGCTCTCACTGTTGGCTTGCTGAGGCAGTAAAAGCAACATCAGTAACTTAAAAAAAACCCCCACTATCTGTATTTCAGAAAATGAAGATGTTTTAAAGGTTTGCAAAAGCATGAAAAGGCAGAAAACAATCCCTTGTCTTCCTTTTTCCCTCTGCACTGCCAGTGCAGTGAAGAAGCCAGTCACAAATGCTGGAGCAGCAGTGGGTGGTAGAAGAGGGATTTTCCCATGCCCATGAAACAGGGGTGACTCAAATATTTTCAGGTTTCAGAGGGCAACAACAAGTGAGGAATTACTATGCTTTTAAGCACCATGGACTAAGTGTACAGTACTTTAATTAATGGAAAATCCCAGCAAAGAACTCACTATTAGGCATACACACGTGGGTTCCAGAAATCCCTACCTGCTCCTTGCATGCACTACATTTTAAAAACAGCTTTAACCAGCCCCTGTGTCCTGTTGCTGTGAGAAGCAGCAATGTGAAATTCTTAATGATGTCCTTGGTAGGATGATTAAATCATTCTTTGGGGTCTTTCCTCATGTGTAAAAGTTAGAGCTAGCAAAATTCCTCCTTACCTTTGCACTTTCAATTTTCATTTTTACACTCGTTTTCACAAAATGTGTCAGTTATACGACACCACTGCAACCTATCATCACCCAGACAGGCATTTATTTGGGTGCATTTCAGGTCAGTCTGTACAACAGAAAGGTCTGGCTAATAAAATGCTGTCCATGGCACTCCCACTGCATGTTCCAGATGAAGTGTTACAGCAGCATCCTCCTCCCCTCTGAAAACCCCACACCAAAACACCCCTGTTCTGTTTCTCAGGATGCATTGTCTGCACCCAAAGGAATTTTCTGGGCTGGAAGGGAAGCTCAGCTCCTTTGGAAGTGGTATTTGTGTGCTAGGACACAGCTTCACAAATTCATTTACACTGAGCACAAGAACACTGCCACCAAATAATGGTGTCAGTAAAGGAAAACTGACAATGCAGCTTATGTGAGCATTGGAATAGCCAACATCCTACGTGTGTATCCAAAGAACAGAACTTCAGAATTATCTGAATGAATGCAAAACCCATCTAGCCACTAGGTCAGCTGAAACAGGATTTCCATGTCTGTTGTTCTCCAATCTTAGAAAAAGCTCTACATTACCAGTAGTCATATGCATAATGAAGATGAAGAATGACTTATATTCAAATCTAAAAGTTTAATTTCTTGCCTTTAGGGGTTTTTGTGTTCATTCTTCATGTACCATAAAGTTTTCCTCTTTGAACACACCGATTTTTAGAATGGTATTTCATTAGGACTTATGTATTCCACTGCTTTAAAACTACCTGAGATCAAAATTCAATAAATCTTTGGAATCATGTCTGTTTTTGTAGAAGTAACAAAATAAGCATGAAAACACAACCTGGCAATTCATACAGGCTCTGAAGTATCAGCAGTGCCTTACCTTCTGATCATCTAGCTCTGCAAAAACAGAAACATTTTTCTTTGCAGTGTCACAGCTCTTTTAGTGTTCTGTTTTTTCTTTGCATGATTTTATGGGAAATTACATTGCTTCTGGGAGTACATTTGCACTGTGTGTACTCTACCTAGGGCTCTCCATTTCATAAATCAGATCTAAATTTTTATCAAAGATGATGTCAGTTCATCCCTCACCTTTATTCCTTGGCCAAGACTCTCGAGAGAATTAATATCGAGGCCTTCCTTGCAGGCCTGCAGACAGGAAATCACTTTCTGACTCTCAATTTTCCCTGGCCGTATTGTCAGGCTGGCCAGGCTGCCATGGAAATACTGAGCAAACCTGGGCTTGGTGACTTCACCTCCTGCAAAAAAAGAGGATGCAAAATGGTTATTGGTACCAGCACACAAACTGCATATGTAAGAAATCACTTTATGTTTTAACACGTTTAAAGAATCTCTGTCCATCTCAGCCAAGTGGATTTGAGATCCCGTTTATTGTGGTACAGTGGAATGTCTTTGTGGGTTGTTGGGTGGTGTCTGGTAGCAGGCTGTCTTTCAGATTCTTGATTTTCCAGGATTGTATTCAGGTGTTTATAAAGCTGAGACAGCAAACCCAGAGATGAAACATGGCTTCCCAAATGTATACAAGGAAGCAGATGATTTTAAAAAATGATCTTAAGTTCTCAAACACTAAATGTTAAAGTCCAATATTATTTATAAAAAAGCAGTATTTGCAAGTGTTCTACCACAAGATCAGCTACCTCTGCCTTTGTCCTCCCAAGAACACAGCCCCAGATGAGCTGAGAGTGGTGGCTCTCTGTATACAAACTGCCACACCCTGGGCTGTGTCTGGGGACACGCTGGCAATTCCTGCAGTGAGCAGGGAACTGTGCACAGCCCCTCTCTGAGAGGCTGGCAGTGCTGCCCCTGACCCAAGGTGCAGCACCTGGTGCCAGGTCTGGTCCTGTCACTCTGTGTTGCACCTGCAGACACATCAGTTTGGTTCCACTCCAGGCAGCTCCGAAGGAAGGCTGATCTTTAGGAGCTGTCAATAAAACGTGATTACAGACTGCCTGCTCCAGTGATCATGGCATCTCAATTACTCTTGGGACACTTAGTGATTTACTCATCCTCCTTTAGGAGAATTTTTAGAGCTTGTCTTTCCTGCAGTGTTATCTCTCTCAGTGCATGTGAATTACTGCCTGCCTCGAGCCTGGGAGGACCAAGGAAGCCACAGAGCAGGGAGCCAGGCAGACTAATTGGATTAGCAGTTGATAAGCTGTTGATAAGGTGTTGTAATTGGTAGATAACTCATCTCTACAGTGTTTGTAGCTTTAGTATCAGACAACTTGGTTTTGGCAGGCAAGGCAGCTCAAACTTGAACTTTAACTTGTGTGTGGATTGGAGTTGGATAGGGATGAAGGGGCAGATTTTCTTTAGGCTGCTGTTGTTACCTAAAGGCCTGAAAACCCTCACTTCCAGTCTCTGCAGGATGAGCATTATGAAGAAGACTCGAGCTATTTTATGTAGTGAAGAAAATACACACAGGTGTACTGGCAGGAAGGGGGTGTCCAAGCAGGCTGTTTCTTCAGAGAAGTAGGAAGGGGTTTTTTGTTTGTTTGGTTGGTTTGGTTTTTTTGTGGTTTTGTTTTTTGTTTTGTTGTTGGTTTTTTCTTTTTTTTTTTTTTTTTAAACACTACAGCACAAACTGCCTCTCTTTTTCTTACCCCAAAGAAAGGTTCCCAAGGGGAAATTATTCTTGTCCACTCTCATTCATTTGTCCATTACACAGGAAATTTCCTCTGGGCAGAATTTTGAGATTTTTTTTGACATTTGAGATTTCCTAGAAACTTTCACATATACGACAGATAAAGTTCAACCTTTCTAATACTTACCAAGACAATTATTTGGTAATTATTTGGTAAATCAATAGTGCATTATGGGGACATTGGCTTTTCAGCCAAAGTGCTGTTATATTTATCTGCTTACATTCTCTTTAAAAGTACATATACAGCAGTAATATAACTGGACAAAAAAAGGTATGCTGAATTAAAAAAAAAAAAAAAAGCAAGCATCTCCTTAAAAAGGAGACAAAATCATTTAAGAGCTTACAGAAGAAGAAGGAATCACATTTTGTTTGAAGCTTCGTGTTCTTATATCACTACAGAATTGTGAAGACAGCAAGTTCCAAGGCTAAAATACCAACACTAATCCTGGAACTTTGAAATTTAGAAACCTATAGTAAGTCTGCCAGTAGGTCTTAATAATTCTGAGGAGATGCCAAATAAGAAGAAGGCTCAGACCAGTAAATGTATTTAAATGTGAAATACACTCATCAAAATGTATAAAAAAGATCAGACAAGAAGCCAGAACAAAGAACTCAGTGCTGAGGCTTTGCCTGACAGAAACAAGCAGAATGAACCAAAGCATCCATGAACAGATTCTGGGTGTTCTTCCACTGTGGACTAGTTCTGCTCTGGTATTCCTGACAAAGCACTTACAATTACATTGCTAGCTCATTAGCAGTGATACAGGATTTGCCTATAAATCATTAAATGCGCAGGGTATTCACTGTGCCCAAGCCACACTTTTAAGAAATGCTGCTGCACAAGGAGGTATTACCATCTTGGAGATGTATAATTCTTGTTTAAAGTCATCTGTCCAGCCACCAACATCAAAGCATGGAAGGGAATATGAGTGTTTCCAGGAATAAGCTTTTAAAATACTCTGAAAATACAGGCACTACAAAAACATTGAGCATTTAAAGAACAAGGCTTACACATCCTCTTCACAGGAATAAGGAGGTGTTTGTGCAGGTGCAGAGATTAACACTGGACTGTAAAGGAGGTGATGTAATATTTGCTTGGGAGAGGCTATCAACTGTTATTTAAACAAAAATCCTCAAGTATTTCAAGAAACAGTGAGTGAAAAATAGCTGGGAGTAGCCAGTGTCATACTTTGTGAGTGGAGAAAATCTGCAGGACCATGGCCATGGCCATGACAGGGGGATCCAGGCTGAGACAATGCACGTGAACAACTAACAGCAGACTCTGCAGGGACACAGAGGGATGAGGCACTGTCCCCAGCCCCAAGATAAATACAGCTGGACCTAATCTATTATTGAGAATATTCCTCAGCTTTCTAAACTCTTCTGAAGATAGAGGCCCCCAAGCAATCCTCTCCATCAAACACTCACCCTTGAGGGGGGGACTTTTATTCCCAGCTGGAAATGTGAGCGGTCAAAATACATCTGCATCATTTTCCTTTGCCAGGCTAAGCAAGGGCTTCTCTTTACATCTTCCACCTAACACTGCAGATTATGTAGACTAACACAGAGAACAAAGTGGAGTTCCAGTGACAATAGTCAAGTATATGAAAATTTGTAATAGCTCTGTAACACAACATCTCCTGTAGACTATGAACATCCCTGTTGCTCTTCCTGGAACTTATCTTGCTAAAGTACTAACCCTACTGTAGTGTTCTTGTCACTGTATGTGTAAAACAGGATGTGCCTGTTCATCCAGGGCACTGAGAACACCAGCACCAACAGTTTTAATCACATGAAAAAACAAGAACACCAAAGAGAGAATATTATCTTATACCAGATTGCTAAATAAGCCTTCCGTAAGCAACTTTTACCCGTGTTAAAGACAAAATTATATACGTGCCAATTCTGAACTTGAAGGTGAACAGAAATCATTATATCTGACTCTTCTTACAGTTGCTTGTAATTGCAGCATGCTGTCATTTTGATATTCTTCTGTCTCAGCATTTCAGAATCTTCTCAGCTCAGTGGGGTATGTTAGCTGCTGATGTTCCCATCACCAGTAATTATGAGATTGCAAATGGACAAAATCAAATGCAATAAAACTGGGAAACAAACCCCAAAACTCTCACTAAAATTAAAGGAATGGCCTAAGGCCAGTTTCCTACAAATCCTGCTTTCTAGCTTTGATAAAATGTTTTATTCATATTTGGGTCAATTGTATTGGTGTGTTTGGAAGCTGCTTCCTTCTGCTTCTGCAATCTGATATTCTTTGAGTATTTGACTTCAGCTTCTCAGTGGGTGGAAATTTAGCCCAGGATGGCCAATCTCCAAATCCTAGTCAGTCGGAAATTCTGAGCTCCCAAGACTAGATGAGTATAAATATATTTAATCCAGAATGAACATGATAATTCCATTGCATGTTTAAGCACAATGGATAACTGTACCTAATGCTGATAGTAACATTTTACAGAATATTATCCAAATTCTTCTAAATACTGATTTTTCAAATAGAGATCCTTTGACCCTGAGCAGGATTCATTTCATGCTCCCCATGCAGCTGACAGGCAGCTCAGAGTCAGTGGCTTCACTAGGCAGGAGGATGCTCAGTTCCACTGCCTGGACTTGACTCAGCACTGCTGTTACCACCTGCTAAGAAACAACTGAGAAAAGATTTAAATGTGAAATTCACTCATTAAATTGAGCATTGAGATGCTCCCAACAGCCCCTTACTGCTTTAAGGCACTTTGAGGTCTTGGTTCTGGCACCAAAGTGAGCCTAAGCAGCAGTGGGATAACAAAGCTAGGCCAAAATTGATTACACAGAGAACAGAGGGGAGCTCCAGTGACAATAGTGAAGTACATGGAAATTTGCAATAGCTCTGTAACACAGCATCTCCAGTTTCTCTTCAGAGCTCAGGATAACCAGTTAACTTGGATTGCCTCAGCAAGGCTCATGGGACTTCCTTGCTGTTGGGGTCTTTTTGCCCTTTCCTACAAGTGAAACACTGCTCAGATACAGCTCATCTCCAAGAAGATGTTGGTAAATTCTGAGAGAATGCAAAAAACCTAGTCCTCAACTGTGTTGTATCTTGTTGTATCTTAATCTTTATTGATTGCTATGGATTAATATGCTGTGAATGCTAATTCTTGGAGGATGGTTAAGTAGTTAAGGCTAATTAATGACAGAGCCAAGAGAGGAAAACAGAACCTTCCCTGCTGCCAGGGAATTCAGTTAATGTCTGTAACACAAAAGACTGAAACTACACTATAGTTTAGTCATCAACTATTCTTACTACAATTCCTTCCATGAAAAATTTTTGAAGCTACTGATTTTTTTCTCTTCCTTAAATGTAAATGTTGTGGTTGCCATCACAGTTGTGAGGGAGCACAGGCCACAGGGTTGTTCAGATCTTGCTGACAAAATTGTGCATTGCTTTTCACACCTGACCCAGCATGCATCACACTTCCCAAGTCTGGCAGATACAGGAGGATGGATGGTGGCTTTTGGCATTAATTCAACCCTTGTAAAAGGAAGATGGTGTCAGCAGACTGTGGAGGCATCCAGAGGAACCATGACATCCATAATTATTCACTA